ACCACCCCCACCTCCTCCAAAACCTTCACCACCTCCAACACCTCCTCCAGCACCACCACCAACGCCTCCTCCAGCACCAAATCCTCCACCATGTCCACCTCCACCTCCAAAACCGCCACCTCCACCCCCACCAAACCCACCGCCACCACCTAAACCACCGCGACCACCAAATCTAGGACCGAAGCCACAATGCCGTCGTCCAAAACGACAACCATAATCATCACCGAATCTAGTCTTTTCGAGATTGCTATCACCAAAAGTGAATGAAATCAAATGGAAGATAATGCTAAAGAGAAGAAGCACAGACAGATTCTTTATAGAGACACTCATGGCTGAGTGATACACAAGTTGGATTCTCAGTCACTTTTGGTATGACGTCCCCGTATTAGCCGTCTATATATAATGAATTATATACACGAAAGAATTTATGTATGACAGTCCATTCTTCTCCTTCACTTCTTGAGCATTCATTGCCACTGCATGTACATGTTAACGTGACGCGTTTGAACAGTTGGGGAAGTGGTGGGGAACATTAAATGAGAATCACAGTCAAACCAGATTTGAAGTCTAACAGGTCAACCTGCCGACATTCAATCTCATCTCTTCTCATGTGTTTATTTCTCCTCCAATCCAATTAGGGAATCAGGGTCCCCAGCGTACAATAAATAAATTAACTGCATTAGTAGATCGCAGCCGTTCAATCTTGTCTACCGTATGTTATCTTGCAGGCTCTTTTTCTATCGCATGACACATGGTCAATGATGATCCCAGCTGACTAGCTGAGTAAGTGCGGTAACTCGTATTCAAAACTCAAAAGTCTGCTCTTGATAGCGACTGGCCGAGCTGGACAAAGTATGGAACGAGAAACCCTATCAGCCTCTGAGTCTAGTCCCTACAACGTATGCATAATCATACATAGATTTAACTACAACTGGTACTTGGTAGGCGTCATCTCAGATGCCAAACACTTCAAGAGAAAGATGTGAACGGTGAACCAAATGCAAACATGGGCAATACTTGACTCCTACCTTAAAATTTGCTAAATCCTAAGCCCAAAAATGTAAAATCCACACTCTAAAACCCTTAAAACTAAAATCCTAATCCCTTAAACCCTAACCCTACATCTAAAACCCTAAAACCCAGAAAAATCTAAATTCTAAACTCTACACCCTAACCCTAAAATCTTAAAAAAGAAATCTAAACTCTAAACCTTTAAACCCTAAGCCCTAATCCTAAATCTAAATCTTAAACCCTAAGGCTAAATACTAAAATTACCAGCATAAAAAAAACTAAATACTAAAATTAGTGTGTAAAATGACTATGATAGATCAACATGGTAGGAGCCAAGTATTTTATGTGCAAACATAGGGCTTCAAATATTTAAAAGATTTAAAAGCATGGTTTTTAAAATCGACCCGGAGATCGAAAAGATCAGAAGTCCAGTTATCGGGTCGAACTGACTGTTCGACCCAAATGGTTGATCTGTTTTGATAAAAAAATTAAAAATTAAAAAAAAATTAAAATGGTCAAAACCATTCGAGCGGTTAACCGCCTGGGTCAACCGTTTGTTGACCAAAATCAATGGTTTTTTGAGAAATCCAGGTTTTGTGGAAAAATGAAACCGATCACCTGACCAGTTCCTAGTTTTTTCGGTTCGACCGTCCGGTTTGGCCCGATTTTGAATACCATGTTTAAAAGATTGCACTAAGGTGGTGTTTGATAACACTTTTCTAATGTTATAGGCATGAAAATTTTTCTTTTCAGACCTATGGGTGTTTAGGTTTAGATTTGATTAAAGGATCTGGAACACAAATTCAGATCTGAAATGGTAAGACTTGGTTTCATGTCTTGCCAAAATCAGACGCATTTCAAATATGACAAAATGACATTAGTGCCCTCATTAATGTTATCCATTTAATAATAACAACAACAATGAGAACAATTTATTTCATATAATCTATAATAATAATAATAATAATAATAATAATAATAATAATAATAATAATAATAATAATAGAGAAATATTGTTATAAATATGTATTATTAATTAAAAAATATTATTATTTCTTTATTTAAATAAATAATCATATTAGTAATAATATTTATTTAACAATAATAGTAATAATAAGATAATTATTATTTTAACATAATAAATGATATCATTTTAGTTTAAGTATTAATATTTATATAGTAATAAGAATATTTAATAATAATCAAAATATATTTATTTATTATTAGTTAATAATAATAAATAAATATCATAATTAATTAAATAATAAATAATTATTTATTTCAATAAATCATAATATTTGTTTATTAATAGAATACTATTTTATTTAATATTCTTTTTATTATTTATAATATTATCAAACAATCTATTTCTAAGGGTAAAATAGTAAACTTCATAGTTTCAGATGTTGGAGAATTGCTCTAACTCAAATGATCTTATCTTATCAGAGCCTTTAAAAAGCAAAAAAAAAAATCATTTCCACTTCTTTTCAGATTTTAGACATGAATAATATAGCTTTTTGATTTTTCAGACATTAGACTTCAAATTTATCAAACACCACCTAAGTGGCACCCAAAGGTTAAGGGTGTTCACGGTCCATTTTGTTTTTGGAGAAAATTCCAAACCAAACCAGCAATCAGTGGTTTGAGAAATTTTCAGATTGAATCAAACCATTTCAATATAGAAATCAAATCAAATTAAAACCGTTGTCCGGTTCCTAATATGATTTGAGCCATTTTATTGGGTTTAACTCAATTAGAATGCCCAAATGACATAATGCATATATAAATAGCAAATAGAAAGCAAATATCATATTAAAATGTTAACTAGTCCTACCAATTACTATTATATAAATTACATTAATTTAGAGTTTCTCAAGTATAAACATCTCCTTGAGCATCAAATTACAAGTTAAAAATTAAAATAAACAACAACAATGTATGAGCCGTTTCTGGGTCTTACAGGGTACAACATGGGCGGACCGGGGTTAGCAAACTTTTTTATTATTATTTAATTTCGAAATGGCCCAGCCCAAGAATCCAACAAGTACATAAATTTGAAATACAAGTAGTGTGAAGTGTGAACACATCAGTGATAATTGACGAAGTTGAAAGCAAAGTGTACAAATTGCACCGACATTCGTTAAGAGAATGGTGAGACATACATATATGCCTCCTTCTGGGGGATCATCCCATTAAAATGCTTAAATGCAGGCCGATGGGGTATCCTCCTTCCACAAGCAATTAAGTTTGTTCAGTCTAAGTTTGGGGTACGTGGAAACTTCATTCTTTATGGTTATGTTTGGTTTGAAGGAAAAGGTAGGGAAGGAAAGAAAAGGTATCAAAACCTATATAAAATTTGTAAAGGTCTTCTTATCTTCTTTCCTTTCCTTTCTTTTTCTTTCCCTATTTTTGCTTCAAACCAAACATAGCCTATCAGATTCAAGTTTTTCGGAGCATTTCTTGATCATTTCAAACTATATCAATTATCAGAAGACTATAGAAATGAATTCAATTCTTATTTACATTGTTCCTTTTCAAGATTAATTAATCCTTAATTTATGGTTTATAAATCAATGGACAAATAACAAATTTGATTTTATATCATACTAAATCAATGGACAAATGATTTTATATCAGAAGACATAAATTGCTACTTGTTTTTCTTTTTATTGAAGCAAGTGAATGGCCAAACTTACATTTTTGCAAGGTCTACATTTCAACGTGGGGTCAATGGCCATGTGAGTGGATTGGGGACTTGGGGCCAAGCATTTAGTAGGCCATAATTAAGTTTGGATAGCTCTCTACTTAGAATTAATCCAACTGATGATTGCAATTTTTCATCATTTTGGATGGTGACAACAAATAAATAACCAAGTGAATGAGGTAAAATAATTAATTGGAAGAAGAAAAAGAAGAAGAATTTGAAGTATTTGTACCTAAAAAACAGAAGAACAATTTGAATAATCCTTCATTGTTGATGGATTTTTTGACTTACAATTAAAGCTAGTGAAAATACCGAGAAAAATATTTATTTTTCATGAGAAAACTCGTCTCCCCATATTAAAAGGGTTAACTGAAGTCCTTGTGTACGTACTCCCCCATCATACTTGACTAAGACATGTAAATCGCAGAAAAAAAATTTAAAATTTTCATGTGAGACAGGAAATTAAGAGAAAACAACTGCTATGTCAGTAAACATAAAACCATTCATAATGGCAAACATCCTTTAAATAGATTGATAGAAATTTTTAAATTCTAGATAACAAGGCAAAATAAGGCATATTATTAAAAATTAAAAAAAAATCAGCTATGCAATTAGTGAATAAAAACCCATGAAACTAAGTAAATATTCATCAATCAATGTGACATTTATATTGGCGGACATGCACTATATATACGTTCAGTGCAATTTTATTAAATCTGAATACTAATCAATCAAATCAGGAACTTAAGCACGAAGGTATCTAAGTAAGGATGTCAGTGGATCGGGTTAAGTGATAGACCCACACAGACCTGACCCTATTAGATTAAGGTAGGGCTGGGCTTATTCGGATTTTAGATCATGTTCATATTTAAGGTTTAAGACGAACCCGTATTGTATCCGACCTGTTGACATTGCAGCACTGAAATCTTTGTAAATAAGTTTGGTTGAGTTCAAATGAACTGTATATGGGATGAATCGGGTTGGGTTCGATATTTCTTCTCGTTAGTCGGGGGAGGTCGGGTTCAGAGCTTGGTTGTTATTTTAAACTCACCTCCCGTACCTCCTCAGGCTCTATCTTCCCCCTAATGTCTGATGCTTGAATAATGCATTTAAAGACTGCTTGTTCGAAACCGCGTTTGCAATTTCCCAACTTCAAACTAAGTAGCGGTGCATTTAAAGTCAAGCTGAAGAGGCTCAAACTTGGTTTGCCTAAGAAGTACAAGGTTCCAGTTTGAGTTTGGTTTGAACTATAGCGAATGTTCTTTCTTATAACTGTTCAAAAACTACTCATGAATTATAAATAATTTTGTCTTTAGAGATACTACCACATGCAAATGCACGTAAATGTTTACTAGTATATATATATAATTCTCAATCAAGTAAAGGTTGGATGAAAAGATTCTTGAACTTGGGGCTTGAACAATTGAACTTTAAATTAAGCAGATTGTAGCAGAGACCTGGGATCAGGTCCTGCTACAGCCAATAGGGATGTCAATGGGTTGGGTCTGAGTAAATCTGAACCCGAACTGAAGTAATACCAACCCAACCCCTGCCCGATGAAGAGAGACGTAGATTGTAATCTAGGGGTGTTTATTCGGTCATTTTGGTTGAGAAA